CGCGCCATGTGGTCACCTCCGGGGCAGGCGGGAATCGAACTCATGCGGAAGCGGCTTTAGATTCTTAGTGCTGTGCTTCAACCCGCTGCCCCACCAGGGAGGGCCCCCAACTTTGTTTTTAATCCAACGTTTAATCCACTTATTTTGTTACGATGGCTGATGTCTTTGTGTAAGTGCCTACCATTGTTTTGGTTTTCTGTTTGCTTCACTAGCGGTACTGTTCTCCTCCCATCCCCTCTCAATTTCTTTCTCCCCTTCTCCTCTCCTTGTTTTTGTTTTTTTTATTTTTTATTTCCCCTGATTCACTTATCCAGTTCTCCTTTCATTGGTTTGGAAATGAAATACTGTCTTGTTCTTTGTCTTTGTCTTATCCTTAGAAATTGTAGCATTAATAGTTAAACAAAAATCAAGAGTAGATAAAACCTTTATCTTCACTCCAGTTACTTCTCCCAAATTACTGTTGAATATTTAATTTCATCTTGCTTTTAAAGAGCTCTGTGACTTAATCATTGACCAACAATTCTAGTCATTGTGCAAACAACCCTCAAAATTCAGTAGCTTAGCCCAATGAAGGTTTATTCCTCACTGATGCCAGTCAGTCCTCTCCAGGTGTGAATCCTTCATTTTCAATAGTAGTCCTTCAAAAAGCGCCGTTGCTATGTCTGAAAAATGCCTAGACAAACTTCAAAGCCTCCTCCTCGTGGAAAGATGGGAGGATGAGTTTCTAAAGAGTCTGACTTTTCAGTCAGGCTCATGGTTTCATTTGCCATACAATTCTCCTAAAATTTATAGGGCTTCTTAAGGATCTCTGGTTGCATTCTGGATAATTTCTTCTGTTGTATCTTCCACTCACTGATTCTCTTCTGAACTGAATCGAATCTGACGTGAAACTCCTCCATAGAGCTCTTAACGTTGTTATGCTTTTCATTTCCAGAAGTTCCACTTTTTTCTCAAAACCCCTGATGATTATTTATAGCTCCTTACTCTCTGCTCATACTCTCAAGCTCACATTCTTTAAGCATTTTATATGTAGTTATACCGCTGTCTCTGGCTTATAATTTTATTACCAGCAGACCCATTTCGTTTCTTATCACTGTCTTATTGAGGTAATACATTTACAACATGCTTTAGGGGAATAGGTTCACACCTCCTCAGATGTCTGTGGCCATATCACCCCACCACCAAACACAGAACTGTTTACTCCAGACCACTGGCTGCCTCCTCTCTTGGTTCCCACCTCTGCCCATCTCCCCTTCTAGCAGCCTCAATTCAGCATTGTATTTCTAGATTTTGTTTTGTTAGTTCCTGTATTCTTCCCCCCAACTTCTCCCCTGTTTTTTATATGTGCATGAGCCATCCAGTGTTTGCTGCTTCCTTCTGACTTATTTCACTTAGCATTAACATGCTAAGTCCACTTCCATCGATATGGTCAGTAACGTAAGTGGCCCTTTTTGCACAGCTTCTCCTGAATCTCTTTCACTCACAGAGCCCTGTTGTTTGCTTGTTACTATAATTCACACACTTTTGTAGGGGCAGAGGAAGAGGGAACTGCTTCTAGAATTTGGACTCTATTTGGCTCCTTCATAGTGCATTTGATTCACTTCTGCAAGATATATTGCAAAATTGCTCTAAATTAAATCCTCAGCTGAAATTCACACAGTGAATTCAGCTAAAATACTGTGTGAACAACACTTCATGGCTCCAAATTCTCATTACAAATTTCCCCTAGCCCCCCAACCCCAACGTGGCATCTGGCACCCGACATTTTGTTTTCCTAGCATTCTCCTGGTCAATTTCTGGCTTGGCCTTTCATGAAGGGGAAAGCTCTTTGGGATCTAGTCTTGGTGGACTAGAGAAATTCCATTAGGCTGGCTATGGTAGACAGATGCAGGACTGTGCCCTGTTCCCATGTCTCACGACACCATTAAAGCCTAAGCTCAGATTTACTGTTCTGCACACACCTTCAGAGAAAGGCTGGCTTCAGCAACCTATTTCTATCTCTGCATTCCCATGTTTATTTACTTTCTAGCTGCAGCCTAGCTTATTCTGTTGATAGATCACCAATGCTCTTAAGATTGTGGTATCCATCATTTTTAGTAAATTTTTGATGTAAAGAAGATCCCAAGGGGGATACTATATAGTCTACTATAGAACCCGGTCTTCTGCTGCTATTTTTCACAAAAACAAGGCCTATTTTATCACCAATTCGCCTCCCCATGAGCAGAACAGATATTAGACTCACTTTTCATTCTGTTCTCATTAAAGTGAGATGTACAAAATATACAAAAGTTTAGATGTACAAAATATACAAATGATGAGAAATATTTGAGTATATGTCTGTATAAATAAATCCATGTTACCAATTTGGTTATTTCTCTAAGTGTTTATTGCACTGAATCAAAGTTTGTATACTAGTTATGAGATTAACTAGAAACTTGGTGAGATAAATGTAAAGGAATATTCAGCAGCTGCTGAAAGCCATAATTTATAAATATCCTGCAATAATGCAAAGAAATTATTTTTGATGTAATCTAAGTTGGGCACAGATGACAGGAAGCTATGTGATGGGGACAGAGGTGAGGGCTTGGAAGACCTGGCTATAGAGAGTGTGGGTATTCCCTGGATCACCCATTCGAGGCTGTAGCAAGAGCCAGCTGGCTTGTGTGGAGCCATACAGACCCCAGCAGACCCTCTAAATATGCGTTTACTGACTGGCTAATATTAACTTCTAAACCTCCTTCTTTCTACAAGGAACTGATGGAAACATTAGCCAGGTGCAATTAAGGCAAAAAGTCAATGGCTGGTCTTTTAGCTCTGGTGTCAGTGAGTGGGGCAGTGCTCCCCGGTGGTGACCCCCCAGTTTTTTGACATGGTGGGTCCTGTTATCCAGTGTCAAGGGCCAATGACAGCCTCTGCTTTCGCTCTTACCCAGACTTTACTGAGAGAATGTAGACTTTTATCAATTGTGTTGCTAAGGAAACAGCATTTTCCCCATATCCTCCACAAAAGGGTTCCTAGTTACTAATGCTCAGTTTTTACTTATGCTTGTCAGATGCCTCTTTGTCCAGTAAACAGAACTGGTGCTTTAAGCTCTATCTCTAGTGTAAGGAAAGCAACTTGCAGCTTATATAATCTTGCAGAGAATATAACAGCCCCTCCCCTGCACACAACACCTATCCCGCCACACCAACCCACCTGTATCACCACATAGAGACATAGATCTAGCCCTTCCTGTGCAAAAGTGTTAGCTCTCCTCCCTCAGGGCCTCCTCGCTGCTGTGTGGGTGAACAAAGTTGCTGCACTGTTCTGTTCAGCGCCCCAGTCTCACCAAGCCAGAGCCTGGCTCTGCGCAGATGCTCTATAAACATCCAGGGACAGCTGAGCCCAGATATTTCTTCCTGACAAATTAAAGAACCACACACACACACACACACACACACACACATATATATATATATATTTAGTGTTTGCACATCTTCATGCACAGTGCTTCTGCTCCCCTGTAGGACTTAGTCCAATAGGGTTTTACAGTGAAGGGCTTTCTAGGGCTTTTCCTGGTCTCTGTAACATAACCACTTGTTACTTGAGAGCAGCGACCCACAGACCAACCTCCACACTTGACCAGTGTTCAATCAAGTGGATAGCCTGGCTGGCCAGTTAAATAAATCTATAAGGGTGGTGTCCATGAGTCCATGAAATCATAGATGCAATTTCAGAGCTGGTGGGGGGAAACAGGTGTTGCCATGGCACCAAGATGAGAAATGCCCTGAAAGATGGTTGGTCAATACCTGTCAGATGCAATGGGTCATAGAAGACTAGCTTCTGTTCCAGGCAAATGTAGGCCTGTTCTTACTTGTTGGTGAGTCCATCACACCACATTCTATACCCTTCCTGTTCTGGAGGCCTGTGGCTTCAGAACAGGGTAGATGAGTCAAGACCATCAGCCCAGTGGAAAACCCCTGACTTTGCCACAATCAGCAAAGCACATCGGTACTTAGAGAGCATAGGGGCTGGACATGTTTGAGTAACTGGCGACATAGAAACAAAGAAGTCTGAAAGCAGCACCCCAGGAGCACCCAATCTTAATGGGATGAGTTGCTCTGTGCTCTTCCCAGACCTTTAGTTTCTGGTCCAGATGAAAGGTGTTGAAAGCAGCTACCTGAACCTGACACAGTCTCTGTTTCTCTGCAGCTGCGGGTGTTCAAGCTGGCCAAATCCTGGCCAACCTTAAACACACTCATCAAGATCATTGGAAACTCCGTGGGGGCGCTGGGGAACCTGACCTTCATCCTGGCCATCATTGTCTTTATCTTCGCTCTGGTTGGCAAGCAGCTCCTTGGGGAAAGTTACCTGAAGGAACGGTGCCTGACCGCCAACAACTCTGTCCCCACAGAAGACTGCCCCCGCTGGCACATGCACGACTTTTTCCACTCCTTCCTTGTCATCTTCCGGATCCTCTGTGGAGAGTGGATTGAGAACATGTGGGTCTGCATGCAAGTGGGCCAGAAATCCATATGCCTCATCCTTTTCTTGACAGTGATGGTGCTGGGGAATCTGGTGGTGAGTGCTGAGCCCCCTGGGGGCCCTGGCTTGTGGGCAATGGAGGAGATGTCTGGGTCATCCTACAGAGTTTTGACATGGCACATGTTTCTGCCCGCATTCTCCCTCCCTGATCAAAGCTTTCCAGTCCTGTGCGGTGCATTGAAAGGACTGTCCCTAGGAAGCCTAACTTGCTGGGGTGAGCCACAGGAGGGAGGAGACTTGAGTTAACACCTGCCTCTACCACTAGGAAAACTGGGTGACCCAGCACAAGAAGCAACCGCCCCACACTTCAGTTTCCTCAAAATCAAGAAAATAGTGCTTACTCATAGGCTTATTGGGGGAATTAAACTGCAGGAGATGACATACGCAAATTGCTTCGTGCATTGGCTGGGCCCTGGCAGGAACTCAATAAGTGGAAGCTGCTAGTTGTTGAAGGGAAAGAAAGAGGCCTTTCCTGTTTTAGAAGGCCTCAGATGGTATTTTTCTTCATGAGTAGAATTGATTGATTTCTCCAAACTACACAGACCCTAGCTAGGAGTAGGAGCAAGCTCATAGGATTGAGTGAAAGTGAACATTTGGGTCATGGATGACATCCCAGTGTCACATTGATTGTGAAAAAATCCATTCCCACATTTAGGGGAGCCCCTCTGGGACCTTCTCCCCAGATGGTCTCAGGACCCCTTCTCTGGTCCATTCTGGTTCCTCACCCTCAGTGTCTAGTTCTGGGTGCTCTTGCCGACTGGGGGTGGGATTGGGGAGCAGTGTGGATTTCCAGGAGCCTCTTTCTTTGCCCTGGAAGTTAATCAGCTTAGATTCTTAACCCATAAACACTTTACAGACAGGAGGAAACAAAACCAAAAGGGAACATGAAGTGATGCATCTAAGCCCTCCCAAGTCATCCCTACCCTGCTCCCTGAGCCAGAGATGCCTTCTGCCCACATCCCCAAGTGGAGGTGGTGGGGGAGTGGGAAGGGGGCTGGCCAAAAGTCTATCTTTCAGGTGAGCTCACCACCCTATAGAACCATAGTACCCTAACCTCATCAGAAAGCTGCCTCTCTGAATACTGTTTCATGTTCACTCTCTCCTTCACAACCACTCTGGGAGGTGAAGAGTCCCCACTCCTCACCTACAGGTGAAGAACATGATGCTGAAAGCAGCAAGGAGCTGTGCGCAGGATTCCAGAACGAGGACTGGAACCCAAGGCGTTGGCAATGGTGGCTGTCCCAGGACGGGCACATGCCTTTCCTCTCTGTTGTCCCTGAGTGTCCCTTTGCTCAGCGCGAGTGGTTTTTCACTCCACAGAGAATGTGCTCCCACGCCTTGTCCACACAACATGGACCATTCTGGGACATCCCCAAGTCTTCCTTCAGAGGGGTTCAGAATGCCACCCATTCATGGGTGAACACAGAGGGGCCTGCATCGGGTGGTCCTGCCATCCAGCTGCCATCTGGTAGGTCATGGGTGGGGCTCAGCTCACTGAGTCACCTTCCCACCTGGTCCTTCTCTTCAGGTGCTCAACCTGTTCATCGCCCTGCTGCTGAACTCCTTCAGTGCCGACAACCTCACAGCCCCAGAGGAAGATGGGGAGGTGAACAACCTGCAGGTGGCGCTGGCCAGGATTCAGGCATTTGGCTGTCGCACCAAGAAGGCCATTCACAGCTTCTTCAGTAGGTCCTGCCTGCTTCCCAGGCCTAAGGCGGAGCCCCACCTGGTGGTGAAACTCCCCCTCTCCAACGCCAAAGCTGAGAACCACATTGCTGTTGATGTGACTGCGGGGAGCCCGGGACAGCTCCTGGCCCCCAGAGACCCCAGGGAAGACCATGCTGACTTTATTACCAATCCTAATGTGTGGGTCTCGGTGCCCATCGCAGAGGGCGAATCTGACCTGGATGACTTGGAGGAGGATGGGGAGGAGGATGCTGAGAGCTCCAAACAGGAAGTGATCCCCCCAGGACAGGTGAGGACAGCCACAGAAGCAGAGAAGGGCCTCAAGGCTTGAGTGATCCAAGACAGAGGAGAAAATTAAGAGGTTTTCCAGTGGCAGGGCTGGCACAGACTGGAAGAGTCCCTGTACAAGCCACAGACAGCTTTGCAGAGGGGGTAGATGTTGAGCAGGGCCTGGAAGAAGGGTCAGACCCCCAGGCCAGCATGAAGACAGGGAGTGCTTGAGCCCCAGGCCACACTCAGATTCCCTGTTCACTCTGCCCAACCCAGGCTCTGCGCATGAGATGCTAAAGAATTGCCTCTGCACGGGATTTCTCCAAGAGCAAGGGTCACACAGGTTACCTAAGTTCACCCAGCAGCCTAAGGAGTACTGACCTTTATGTGACTCTTCAGTTTACCATGACAAGGGACGTCACAGGGAAATGACACTGGTTCCTTTTATAAACAAAGAATTTAAAGTATATTGAAACTATTGGTAACATATATTTTTAAGTACTCTGCTTAAATTCTGGCTACCTCAAGCTTTGTTAGCCCTTCTCAGAGACTTGGGTGGGGACCCCTAAGGAGCTGGGGACACACAGACAGCTATGCTTTGAGTCTGTCACTCTTCCATAGCCTTCTTCCCCTGCCACCGTCACTTGTCTTGTGTTCCAGTGGCTGCTGTTATCAGCTGCCATATTTTACATGCCTTTGTCTGGGTGACAGCCGAGGGCAGCATGTCACCATCCCCAGAGTAAAAGGACATGAACTCTGAGATGACTGTCTCTACTCAGAGAAATTTCAGTTACTCTGGGGTTCTTGAGGGACTCCAGATGGCAAGTTCACTAACATTCTGATCACTGGGCAAGTAATAATGATCACAGCCAACAGGTATTGAGCCAAGCACTTTGTGCTAAGTGTTTCATAAGCATTAACATAATCATCAAAATAAACAAATGAAGTCGATCTTACCTTCTCAATTTTACAAATGGGAAAATGATCAAAAGAGGTTAAAAAAGCTCACACAGGTTACCTAAGGTCACCCAGCTTGGAGGTAATAGAGCCAAGATTAAACACAGATCTGTTGGTTAGTTTCCATGTTCATTGAACACCGTATGTGTGTGAGTGTGCCCATGTGCATGTTTGTCAGCGGCAGACCTAGTTGGTCCAGCAGATCACAGCGTGCAAGAGGTCTTCAAAGTCAGAAGTGCACTGCTAAGTGTGGTGCTCAGCCAGGGTCTTGTCTCACCACAGGAGCAGCTGCAGCAAGTCCAGCAGTGTGAGGACCCCCTGGAGCCCAGAAGCCCCAGCTCTGTGACGTCCTCTGAGGATCTGGCTCCTTACCCAGATGGGAAGTGGAAAGCTGAGGCTGCCACTCAGGCCCCTGCAGAGGTAGGTATGTGAGTTTGCCGGAGAGGCTGAGGCACCTGGGGACACTGCCTGTGGGGTCGTGGGGGCTAGAGGATGGGGCCGGGGTGGGGTCTTTTAGATGACACTCCACCATGTGGCCTCATTTCTCACCTTGGGAAGTTGCAAAGTCCTTCCTCACCTCTGGACGAATCAGCATGAGGCCCACCAGAGACTGAGATCCCGCCAGTGGGAGGTAGAGTCCCAGTTCCTCGACCTCTTGCACCTCCCACCTCCGTCTGTGAAACTGAATGGCAGTGCCTACTGCGTAGGTAATGTGCCACCTAAACGGAATGCTGCTTGTCAGGTGTTCAGCTCCTGCCTGAATAAGTGCCCGGGGAATGACAGCCAAGGGAAAAAGAGGCAAACAAAAGACAAAGCCCAGAGCCTGTTAAATACCCTCAGAGCCAGCAGATAACAGTCACAGCTGCTCACCGCAAGCAAGCAAGTCTTTCCTGTGACTCCCCCACACCCGCCCCACATCTCTTTTGTCCACATCATTTTCTCTAGCCAAAAGCAGGCTGTTTCTGGGGAAATGCTGATGGAGGTGAGCAGAGTCCTGACAGCCTTACACAGACTGAGGGGGAGGAAGAATCGGGGCTTAGGAATGCCTTGTAAGAGGTTAAAAATAAACCTCTGGTCCCTGCAAATCTTTGGGAAAAAATATAGGGAAAGAGCAATTGCTAAAGACTTAGTATGTTTGCTGCCCATTACATTAAATTCGAGACTTTAACTCGACACAGAGTGCCAAAGCTGGGACAGGCCCTGGGCTGGGCAAAGATAAGGAAGACAAAATTCATCCCCAAAGTTATCAAGCTCTTCAGCTTGAGGAATGTCAGCCCCAGCGGTGTGCCTCTGGGCCAAGCTAACCACAGCAGGGGAAGATAAAAGGGTGGATGGGACCTGGAGGCCCTGGAAACAGGAGCACTCTGGCCGGGCCTAGCGAGAGCGGCCACATCTCCACGTGGATATCCTGCTGCTACCGCACTTCTGAGGACTCCCCTGGAGAGTTCTCTGCTCGATGCTTTCACTACAGAACTACTGGGGATTGTTTGTGTTTGTGTTTGTGTTTGTGTTTGTGTTTGTGTTTTTAATCCATGACCTTGATCCGGCAGGGAGGGGCCTGACAATGACAGATGGGGACCCACCCCACCATTTGGGTCCATTAGCCAAGCGATCAGGTTTACTAATATGACAGCAGCTTCAACTCCTAATTGAATTCATCTGGAGACATTACAGGGCTGGAGCTGCCAGGAGGGCAGCAGGGCCCCCGCAGCATTGCTCCGTGATTAAATATTCAAGCCCAGCCAACGCTGAGAGTCTTTATGGGTGTAATTACGGTGTCTCGGGTCATTGCCAGCACTCCATCAGGGGCCTGGAGGTTTCAAACCTCGCACAGCCAAACCCCTGGGGCTCCACAGAGAGCATCACTGTTCTGGGCCTCAGCTGGCCAGGCACCAAACACACAAGGGACACCAGGGTGGCCCCTGGAGGCCAGTCCCAAGGCCTGAGGGGCTGACCCTGCCCCTCAGAACTCTCAGCCTGTCCAACCTGCAGTGACAGTCTGCGGAATTGCTGGACCCCTCAGAGAATGGAGTTCTCTGCCCTGGACTTCTGCCCTGCAGGCAGTGGACGACACAAGCTCCTCCGAAGGCAGCACAGTGGACTGCCTGGACCCCGAGGAGATCCTGAAGAAGATCCCTGAGCTGGCAGATGACCTCGAAGAACCAGATGACTGCTTTGCAGAAGGTAATGCAGCAGACCATGGCCTGCTCTCGTTGACAGTAACCAGGGTCAAAGCCAGTTCTGCAAATGCTCCGCTGAGCACCTCTGTGTTGAAGGGGGTCCACCAGAGACGGACCAACATGGCCCGTCTCTGCCTTACTCCCAGGCCTGAGCACGCCAGCGTAAAATACCCACCGCTCAAGCCGCCTGCAGGAGCTCGGCGCCTGCCTCTCAGGCTGCAGCATCCAGGGCACATGCGTGCTGCGCCTCCCTCTTCACCCTCAGCAACACCTCACTGAAGTCTAAACTAGCTCTCCTGAGGTTGAAAAGGAAAAGCCTAGTCACCACCATAAACACTCTTGATTTGGGATATAAAGAAACCGGGAGGGTCACGTTGCGTCCTGTCCCTCAGTCTTTTCTGTCACTTTTAAAGGTAGAACCTGTACCTTACTCTTCTTTTTCCTCAGTGTTTACAAGAGCACAGAGAAACTGTGCAGTAAATGAATTATGGAGAGTTGATACTCAGAGGCAATTTTGCCCTCAGAAATTAAAAGAGAAACCACTTGACTGAGTTTCCACTTCCCTTCGGCCCTGGGCTCCTACCATCTGTGTGGTGGCCTCTTAGTTGACAACGGGCTCAAGGCCTCAACCAGCGGATACCTCAGGCCATGGCTCACAGCTCTCAGGCCTGCAGAGATGGGCAGAGCTAAGGAAAGGGGCTTTTGTGTCCTTAGTAGGAAAGCAGGTGGCTGAGGAGGACGTGGGCATGTCACGGTGTGCAGTTCTGATGGTGGAACAGAACACCTGAAGGCCAGGGTGGAGAGCCTTCTCTCCCTCCCCAGGAGAATTCCTCTGTGGAGGAGTGGTGGGCCTTTCTCAGCAGAGTGGTTTCCATGAAGGACTGGCGCACATGCGGTCCTCCCTCCCCAGGGACATGGCTCACCATGTCCTCTCCCCCAGGCTGCGTTCACCACTGTCCCTGGTGCAGAGTGGACACCACCAAGTTCCCATGGGCCACGGGCTGGCAGGTGCGCAAAACCTGCTACCGCATCGTGGAGCACAGCTGGTTTGAGAGCTTCATCATCTTCATGATCCTGCTCAGCAGTGGGTCTCTGGTAAGAGGAGGCGGGGTCCTGGCCCCAAGTCCCCCGATGAGATCTCCCAGCACCAAAGGCCCTGGGACTGCCTGGGCTAAAGTTTCCCGAACCCGTTGCCTGGAAGAACTGCAGGCCAGCTCGAGGAGGAACCTAGTTGTCATTCTTTCAAGCAGTAGGTGGCACGTCCCACTTTATACATGGGGAAATGGGAGTTTAAAGGGTTTAAGGGATGTGTCCAAGATTACCCAGTTTGTTAGTAACCTAACTTTGTCCTCTTTTGATCCCAAAGCCTCTGACTTTCCACGCCAGTGACCCCCTGCCCCCCTCAACAATATACTGGACTTCTCTGAAGGCCCAGTACAAGAGAACCGACTTCCGTCTTCTCAAGCCACATAGCGTACTCCTAGCACACGTTCAAAACCCACAGCCAGTCCCTAGAAGGCTGCTTCTCAAAATTGAATCACCTGGGGAGTTCATAAAAGTGCAGCTTCTGATTCCATGGGTCTAGGGGGACTGGGAATCTGCATTTCCGGCAAGCCCCCAGGTAATGCTCATGCTGCTGGTTCTTGTACCACTCCTTGAATAACAAGGCCTTACTGGTGTAGAGATTCTGAGTAGGTGACACGTCCTAAGCCCCTTGCTGAATGCCTGGCTGAGCAGCACGGACAGATGAGTCTGTTCTGTGCTCAGGCTCCTTGCACGATCTCAGCTGTGCTTCCTGAGAAGCCACAGCAGACCAGGCACAGGAGGGCACCCATCACCCCCCGCTGTGCTTCAGGAGGCAGAAGGACCTACCAAAAGGACTGACCTGCCTGGCATCCCAGCTAATTAGCGAGAGGGGACAGGAGCCCTGCTCTCCTGACTCAAGGCTTCCCATGTGTCTTGCTCCCCACATGCCGAGTGTCAAGGAAACATACTGAATACCTAGGCAACCGCCAGAGCGCCAGATTTCCCGGGAAGAGTGCTCGAACAGTTTAGCATGCAGCTTCAACCTTCTGGAGAGGCCGAGGCAAGTGGGAGGCCGTGACCGAGCAGTGGGAGGAAACTGAGGCCACCCAGGGCCAAGTACGGGGGCAGGGATTGTCCTGCGGGGTGGCGAGTGGGAGGAGTGGCAGTTGCTGAAGCTGCCCGGTGTCCAGCACAGGGCAGAAGTGCCCGCCAGACTAGCAGTCCAGTACAGTGCTGGGTGCAGAGGCCACGTTGCAGGGCAAGAGCAGGCTGCTGGCAGCGCTCCAGACCCCCCTTCGCCTTCCTGTCTACCTTGATGAGAAGAATAAGCACATTAGCCTAAGGGTTTTCCTCATGAGCTCACTGGCATCTGTCTTCCCACAGGCCTTCTCCCCACACTTCTCTTTTCCGCTGACCCTCCCCTTCCTTTCTCTCTCCTGCCTGCTCCCAGCTTCTCCAGGTTCCCCAGCTGCTCCCCTCCCTCCAGCGGGGAGCTAGATCCTGCCCAGCTGCTGGCCCCACCCCAGCCCCTCACCTCCCATCTCCTTCCCAAGGGACTGAACAGGCTGGCACCAAATTTAGCCTTCCGTATGCTTTTACTTTGAGTACTTTTTAAAAAATAGCATGAGTTTTCATCTGACAAAGTAAAGTGCAAAAAGAAAAAAAAACTTGAAAACGATGGGGAAATGCAAAGAAAGAAATACCACCCATTTTCCTATCACTCAAGCAGAATCTCACTTTGAAAACATTTTGGTCCACTTCCTTCCCATCTTCCTTATGCATGTAATATATAAATATTACCAAGGTGACGCCGCCTTTCGGTACGCTATGGTGCCTCACTGCACAGGCTCGCGCCATGGCTGCGGTGTGTTCCTTTGCAGCAATGCGCCACAGTTGACTTTATCAACCCCTGTGCTTACTTCTGATGTATGTATGCTTACGGCTTATTTCTGTCTTCAGTCCAGTCTACAGTCCAGTTCAGTCCAGTCCACAGAGATGCTTGTGGCGCAGTTTGTGAAGGGGGTGCTCTGAGGTGGAACCTGTGAGGGAAGCAGGACAGGAGAGAGGGAGCTGGGAGGACATGGGTTTCTTGTTGCCCAGCCTCAGCCTGGTGCCAAAGAACTTTGTGCCCTGTGACGCACAGAGTTGGCCTCTTCTTTATTTGTTTTTTAATGTTAATTTCCTCTGACTTTTTTTTTTTTTGATAGACCACTGTTCACGCTTGTCCAATATTTGATCCTTCCCCTGAGGTGCAGCCCCCATGAATCTCCCACACCGTGGCCCATCACCATAGTTCCTTGTGCTCTTCCCTCCCTTGGGTGGGCCCCTCTCCTCCCCCCGCCCCTTCTGGATCCCTCAGGCCTATGGTTACCTGCAAGTTTTACCTTTTCCCTCACCTTTTGTTTGGCTTCCCTGTATTCTACCTGCAAGTGAAATCATCCCATATGATCTTTTTCCTTTGGGTCAGCCGTTTAGACTCAGTCACTGGCTTCTGGCTCCCCCAGGGTGGGATATGGCCTCCAGAGTGTCCCCCAATTTGAAAGCAGTCCCCTTCAGCCCACGAAGTCTTCAGGAAAGGGGGCATTCAAGAGTTCTTCACAGCCGACATCCACAGCAGCTGGGAGTGAGCACCAGCCCCTGGAGCAGCCCTGCGCGGACACAATCCTCCAGGACATACTCCTGAAGGCAGAACTGCTGGTTTCCTGTTACCAGTTGACTTCACAAAAGATTGAGCTGGTTCCACCTTCATGGGCCATGTCTGAGAGGAGACTTACCCTACCCCACAGTACACCTTCACTGGGGTGCCCCCACCCTGGCCATTCTTCTTCATCTTTACCAGCCTAATAAAAGGAAAATGGCGTCTTCTTTTCACTTGAGTTTCCTTGATTACCACTGAGCTATGATATTCTGCTTTGGAGGCTCATGGCAATTCTTACTTGCATTGTTGTGGATTGTCTGTGAACATCCTTTGATGCTTTTATTTTTAAACCAAGTCACTGTTAGCATCTCTTTGGTTCACTTCCAAAACCCAACTTGAGAAGGTGTCCTTTGTCACTTGCGTCCAGCTCCCCTGCAAAGTAGAAGCAGGGCTGTGTTCCCATGGACTCTGAGGAAGTCACAGCTTCCCCGCTTATGCCCCCCGCTCCCACCTCCCCAGAGAACAACAAACAAAATGCCACCAGCTGCTGACACAAGAGCTGTGGGTCCGCACCGCCTGCCTTTCTCCTCTCTTTTTTCCAGGCTTTTGAAGACTGTTACCTTGACCAGAAGCCCACAGTGAAGGCCTTGCTGGAGTACACTGACAGGGTGTTCACGTTTGTCTTTGTCTTCGAGATGTTGCTCAAGTGGGTGGCCTATGGCTTCAAAAGTTACTTCACAAATGCCTGGTGCTGGCTGGACTTCCTCATCGTGAATGTGAGTGGCTCCCATGGGATTTGGGGTCCTCACCTCTCTTTGCTCTTTGCTCTGTACCACAACGGATACAGAGGTAGCTCGGGGGTCTGGTCCTCGAGGACCACTCTAAAGCAAATCCTTGACACTCAGCATGGGGTCTGAGCCCAGCCCTATAGCCCCGGGAATGGTGAGCTCCAGGCAGCCTGTGATCCTGGCACAATGTGAGTCCAGTTCCCAGGGTCTATCCGGAAAGACCACTTCCTGCTCTCAGTATCCCACCTACAGTAGGACATTGCCAGAAGCTCCCCAGGGTCTCAGGACCTTGATACTCTGACAGGCTTCTGGGTGTAAAAGGCAGACAGCTGTGCAGTGCAGAGAAACTGTGTGCTGCTGACTCAGTGGCTCTAAGCCCGGGCTGCACTTGGGCATTATCTGGGGACCCCCAACTGCACACGGACCTCTAAAACAGTGACGTGAGACTCACTGGAGCCAAGTGGAGTCCAGGCACTGTCATTTTGCAAAAGCTGCTGAGCAGATCTCATGAGCATTGTCAGCCCCTGAGCTGGCTCCACTGACTTCACCGCAGTGGCCTGGAAAGAGACAAAGGGAGAATGAACTCACACTCACCTGTGGCTGCTACCCCCGCACCAGGGCCTCACCTCCTACCCATTTGACTTGTGGCTCTCACAGCTATGAGGAGACCAAAACGTCTTCCTACCACCCAAAACCAGGAGGGTTCATCTTAAGCACTACCATCCAGGCCTCTTGGCTTTGCAAGATGGCTCCTGAGGCATTTGTTCAGTGCTGTGCTGCCCAAGGCCCCTGCAGGCAAGGGGAGGCAGTGCTGTTTGTCTCTGCCTCTCCCACCTAAGCAACCACCAGCACCAGGTCTGCATGGCAAAGGCCAGGAACTATGTGTGCATCTGGTGCTTCCCTCCTGACGCATGTCCTGAAGCTCAGGCCCACACAAGTCTGCCACAGCTGGTCTGTGCCCTCCATTCTCTTCCTTTCCAATACCAGTCTGCTAGCAGCCTCCCACCACTGGCACACAGGTGACCTGTAAATCCGAGTCACCAGTGCTAATTATGTGCACATTAAGTAATTATTCCTAAATGAAGAGAAAAGGCTTCCCACTCCTGTTAGGACCACACTTCCCCTACCTATGTCTCACTGGTTCCCATCCTGATCACATTAAATGATCATCTATTCACATCACACATCCTACAAATTGTCCCTACCGACCATCCCTTCTGTATACCCTTCCTTCCACTCACCTTTCACTCACCCTTCCATTTCCTTCCTTCCAGACATCCATGCATCTCCTCCCATTTCTCCTCCTTGTTCCACCCATCCATTCCTCCTAACCTTCCTTCCATCCATCTCTCCTTTGGTCAGTAGCCTTTCAGTCTTTCTGTTTTCATTCATCCTTTCAACTATCTAGTCATCTAACCTATTCATTCATTTTCCATATAGCAACCTTCTATCCATTCATCCTTCCACATTTCTATTCTTTCTTTGACCCACATGTCCATCCTTCCTTTATTCCACCCATCTGTCCATATGTTCCATTTCCTTCCATTAGTTCACCTGTTCATCCGTCTAATCAACCCTCCTTCTGTTCTCTCATCTCTTACATTCATCTATTCTAGCCAATGCTCTATTTCCCTTTTATCCATCATTCATTTTACCCAACCATCCACCCGTTTCCTGTATCCATTCATCCACTCTTCCATGCATCTGTACTTTTCCTTTCTTCTTTCCTACCTTTCAACTATCTATTCTGCCCACCTTTATATACTTTCACTCATTCTTCTCTCCAATTATCCTTCATTCTTCCATATAACTGTTCTTCCTTCTTCCTTTCCTTCCTCCCATCCCAACATGATCCTATCTATACTTTCATCAAGTGTTCATTTATAATTACTAGATATATGAGATACTCTGAGAGAGAAGCCAAGAAATAAAAACTCCTTCTCTCTAGGAATTTACACTTAAATCTCCCAGCAGATGAGACACACAGAGAGAAATAAACATAATATTTGGTGGGACATGGTAAACCCTGCTGGAAATAATTCGTTTCTTTGAGACACAGAGACATGAGCCTGCTTCCACTCAGGGGTGGGCTGGGTTAGGATGCTCATATCAGAGGCGGGATTAGATGTAGGGTAGGAGCGGTGAGGTGCAAAGAGCACTGGGAGGAGGCCAACCATCGTGAAAGGATGGCCCTAAGCAAAGGACAAATACAGGTATATGTAGGGAACAATAATTTGACTTGAGTAGAATATATGTATGAAACGTAACTGGCAAAGTAGGCTGAGGCCACATAACACAAACTAAAGAACCTGAAGCTTATAGTGAGGATGATAAGCTTATAGTGAGGTGCCAATGAAGGGTGGCAGTGGAGAATGGATGAGATGGGTGTGATAGTGTAGTGCAGAGACCACTTGGGTGGCAAGTGACCTGAGCAGTGGGCTTGGGCACGAGGACCATCATGGAGCGGCCCCCTCCCAGGGGGCTGACCAAAAGACTGAATAGGATTCAGTGTGCACCCACCATCAGCCAGGAAGCTCCATGCCACCTGCTGGTGTGTGGAGCCTTGCATGGCTGAGGGAAGGTGTTCTTTCTACTCTAGTTTTTCACTGGTAGAATAAGTTGCCCATTCTGTCTGGTGCCTTAGCACCCAAAACTCTGCCCTTTCCTTTCTGAAGTGCTCACGTACAACCCCACCTTGCTGCCAGGTTAGGCTCTACACTAATTTATCCTACCAGTCATGGTGCAGTTGGGGTCTACCAGGATTGGGTCACAGTCTCCAGCAAGCTCACACTTATGCATATGGTGTCTCCTTGGCACCTTCAATTTCTGGGAGAGATAATCATGATAATCATTTTTTCCTAGTCATTTGCATCTTTTGCACTCCAAGGATCAACACTTTAAAAAAAAAAAAGCCTGAAAAACAGATCAGCAAGGACTCACAGTTCAGCAACTACATCTCAGCTCTCTGTCAAGGCTGGGTCTCTTGGGTCCCAGACCCTTCTCTCTTACTGAAGAACTATGAGCTATAAAGACCTTCAGATTCTCTGACTCTCTCATCTTGCAAAAGGTTAAAGTACAACCTGGACCAGCCAGGCACTGACTAAAGGTCACAAAACAACAGGGGTCAAGAGGGAACTAGACTCCATCCAGACCAGGACTCTTTGCAACCCACTTCTCTGAGCAAATACACTTGAGACTCACTTTATAAGACTAAGTATAACCCTCATAAAGGGACATCATCACTCCAAGTCTCCAAAAGTCAACCAAAGTTTCAGGACTGTTGAGATCTGACTGTGCCTCTCTGAGGAGAAGGGAAGGCCGATCTAATACTCAGGGAGCCTGGCCACCTCCATGCCCGCATTTCAGACAAGCAATGAATGAATTCCTCAATGGAAGGACAGGGGCTGGGTTCTCTCTTGATCTCTCATAAGGTGACAATCAGGACCCAGGCTCAGAGAGAGGAGTGGTGGGAACGATTTCCTGTCTCCTTTCACCAGGATTTCCTTTCTGGAAACTTAAGGTGACTCTTTTGCTTCTGCCTGCACTCAGATCTCACTGACAAGCCTCATAGCGAAGATCCTGCAGTACTCTGACATGGAATCCATCAAAGCCCTTCGGACCCTGCGCGCGCTGAGGCCACTGCGGGCTCTGTCTCGATTTGAAGGCATGCGGGTAAGACGTGTCTCTAAGCCACTCCAGTCTGCAGCCTGCAGTTCCTCTCCTCTCTCTCCCTTCCATCCTCTCTGTCAGGCAGTCCACTGACCTGAGCTTCCTATCCCACAGGTGGGCTCTGGGTCCTCCCTTCCTGCTCAGAGGTTGTGCTTCAGTCCTAAGTCTCCTCATTCCTCCATGAGTCCTGTAGTAATCCCCTTTCCCCTTTGCACCTTAAAAATCACATCTCCCGGGACTCAACCCCCACTCTCTCCTGCTCTAAGTGAAGTGACCCTGCTTCATGGCTCCACTGGCATCTCTTACTTCAATCTTCCAGCCCTGTATCAATTACCAAATATCTCTAGAACCTCCCAAGTTATTGGACTTCCTGTGACAAATGAATTTTAACTCTCCATTAAATGTAGTGATATCATCTGCTCAGCTTCTCGGCCACCACCCATTGGAATGTGAATTCCACCCCAAAGTGGTCATCCCGTCCTATGGAATTTTCCCTTTCATCCATCCCTTTCTTTATCCATCTCTACCAACCTCTACCTTGCCTTCACTCTCCTCCTCAGGATGGAATGTGCACAAGTCTGGCCCATGTCTTATGGGGAGACAAGGAGCTAATTGTCTCCACACCCCCCTTCCTCATTATTAAAATAATTCCTGGCAGGGAGAGTGAGGTTTTGTTTTGTTCCTCCACTATGCACTCAAATAAGACTCCCCTGCCCCAAAAGGTGAACTTTTGACATCAGCCTGTGCCTTCACAAACTTCACCACTGAAATGAACTTCTAGTGCTATTGTGCTGTACTATCACAATTGAAAGCACGTGACATTTATTTTATCGTATCTCCACATTGCTGATTTACAAAGAAGCAAGTTGGTGAATATGGATTTAGGTTTTCACTAATTCTTGAGCAAAGCACACATTACACCCTTATGTAAATGTGTTTACACTTTTCTTTTATGTGCTGTGTTTAGGCAAAGCACAGTTCTAGAAGACTGTAAGGGCAAGGGGACACTGCACACCTAAACGCGCACATGTGGGCTTAAGAATTCACCCATCTCTTCAGTCCCAACGGGCTTAGGAAGAAAGTCTTAGCCTATCTTCAGTTGCCCCCTGTCTCTGCCCTCTGAGGCAGAGTTAAGTAAGGCACATCCTCTGCTTCTTCCAAAGGCCACTGGATCGTGAAGCGGCCCAAGTGCACGTAGAAAGAAGTGGGATCCAGCGAGGGAGTGTGGGCATTTGTGGGGCTCCAGTCCGTTTTCGCTTACCCCCTCCAGGTGGTCGTGGACGCCCTGGTGGGCGCCATCCCGTCCATCATGAACGTCCTCCTCGTCTGCCTCATCTTCTGGCTCATCTTCAGCATCATGGGCGTGAACCTCTTTGCAGGGAAGTTTTGGAGGTGCATCAACAACACCAATGGAGACTTTGCTCTTGTGCATTGGCTTATTGTGGATAACAAGTCTGAATGTTTAAATAATAACTACACTGGCAGCTTCTTCTGGGTCAATGTGAAGGTCAACTTTGATAATGTTGCAATGGGTTACCTTGCACTTCTGCAGGTGGTGAGTCCTGAGATCAACCCTGTTTCTTCTTTTGGCTGCTGAGTAAAAGGAAGGGTTTGGTTCTCCCAAAAGAAGCTATGTAGATATTTTGCAAGGGGCAACAGTGTGAGCTGAGGTCATTCCCTAGTCCCACAGACTACCCCATGGGGCTAGAGGACCTTACCAGTAAGTGTGATCTGCATGGTGCAGTTAGAGCCATGTGGGCCAATAGAATACTGTGGGATGGTGTTGGGTGAACCTGTATGAAATAGACATGATGTAGTGACATACCTGGTCTTCTACTGCACATCCTAGAGGGGAGATAAGTGGTGCTCCATGTCTATTGTCACAATAGAAAATGCTACTGATGATGACAAACACATACATACATGTATTGATCCCTTGCCTTCATCCACTCAGTCTGCTGCTCATTCATGTGTTGATGCTATTTCTTATACATCTTATAGCCACAAGTTCCTGCAGTCCACCATTTGTGCATACATTCATTCAACAAGTAATCCCTGAGTAATTACGGTGCACTAGGCCCTGTCCTCGATCCCTAGATACACACACAGTGCTGAATGCAGGGGCCAATGTTCTATGAGAAAAACAGACAAATAAGAAAAGTAAAGCCCAGGTTCCAGTATAGATGGATAGAGAGACACTGAGTGTTCTCTGCTCTTTGTTTCCAGGCAACCTTTAAAGGCTGGATGGACATCATGTATGCAGCCGTCGACTCCCGAGATGTGAGTCTCCCCGCCCTGCCTACTGCCTCCCTCTGTGTTCCCACAGCAGCCTCTGCGAAGTGGATGGTGGTGTCCCTGGCTCTGGGAGAGATGGCAATCCAGTGATCTGGCACTCTTCCTCCCAGAGCAGCGCCCAGTTGACCCTCTTTGGACATTTAAGCCCACCTACCTGTTCCCCTGCCATACCTGCTCCCCAGATCTCTCAAGCGCTTCCTCTGATGACCACTGAGAACAGTGTCAGATAAAGGGCCTGCATGACAAACTTCCTGTGCAAAGGCTAGAATGGAGGAGGAAGGAATGAGATGGAATTTTCAGTCTCTCATGGCTGTCAGGTGGAGGCAATGGTCTGTTGGGAAAAGACCCTCTCTTGCTGTGGTAGACACTGTCAAGGCCCTGCCCCACCTGCCCTCAGCCCACCTGTGGGTTCACTGCCATGCTGAGCTTCTTATTCTGTGTCTGATATTTGAATTTCTTTCCCTGCTTTGGAGCTTACTCAACAGCTCCTCACCCTGATGAGCAGGGGACTTATGACCAGGGGCAGCCCTCACAGATAAATCTTGGGAGTCTGTAGATGAAGGTTCCAGTTTCCCTGTCCCTTTGTGACACACTCCTGAGGTATGCTCTACACAGCTCTTTGGGGGCCCACAACAAGATGGAGCCCCAGATGCCACAGTGATGGCCTCTTAACAACATCACCTTTGTTCACTTTTCTTTAACTCCTGTTTCCTCCCCCACCTTCATTCCTGCATCCTGGGATCACCTTCCAAATAAGCAACCTACACCCAGAGTTTTGTCTCAGGGCTGGCTTTTGGGGTGAACACAAACTAAGACACCCACCCTCCTCTGTGTGTTCCACCTTTCTGGTCACAGGTGGACTTGCAGCCCAAGTGGGAGGACAACTTGTACATGTACTTGTACTTCGTCATCTTCATCATTTTCGGTGGCTTCTTCACCCTGAACCTCTTTGTTGGGGTCATCATCGACAACTTCAATCAGCAGAAAAAAAAGATAAGTGGGGCCTGGGTGTTCCTGGAGGAGTGGTGACTCTTATACTCTGTTCCCTGCCTCTTGACTAAAGCCAGCACCTCCATAGGGCTCTGTGCTTTTAATACCAACACCCATCTTTACCTGGATTGCAAGGCTCATGTCTGAGGCTGCTGCTGGAGCGCTGCATTTCTGTGTCCTGCCCCTTTGCAGTGTCCCCATCCTCTGTCCCAGAGTGACAGTCCCGCTCAGGTGTGTTGAGTGTTACTCACCTGAATACCCCTCAGGAAATGTCAGCAGGGAAAGAAAAGCTATACATTCGCTGTCTATGTCTGGCCTCCAGAGCACTAAGTCAAGGCAGCTTAGGGAGGGCTAAGAACCCAAACTGGTAGAATCCAGGTCTCCTTGGGATAGGGAAGAAGGCCCTTTCAGAGAGAAGAGAAGATCGCAATGTCCTTTGCTGCTTGCATGCTCTGATTTGAGTATCATCAGGGGATTCTGGCGGTTTAATAACAGCAATTTGTTGTTCCTTCTGCACTTAGGGGGCCAGGACATCTTCATGACAGAGGAGCAGAAGAAATACTACAATGCCATGAAGAAGCTGGGCTCCAAGAAGCCTCAGAAGCCCATCCCACGCCCCCTGGTGAGCCCAGGTTGCTCTCTAGCAGAGCATGCCTAGAACGCCGACTCATCAGCCTAGGTCTGTGTGGGTCAGCAGCCTGACAGTGCTCCCTGTGGAGGAGGAGATCTGGGTTGATTTGGGGAATGAGAGTTCCCAGGCTGAAGAAATAGGGATGAAGAAGCAGCAGCTCTGGTCTTCGGCATGAATTTACCTCTGAAGTGTTCCAAATAGACTGCTGAGGGAATTCCAGGACAGGCTTGGGGCAGATTAGACTCGATAGCAAGGGCAGTTAGAGCCATAATATGAAGTGTCTGTGACTTTGCATCATGATCTAGGTTGCAATGGATGTCCAGCCTCACCCTAGATTCCACTTGAGGCCTACCAGTGAACAGAGAGGAAATGGCCCAAACCCCTCAGCAATCTTGGTTTTGGTCATGGTCTTGATAAGGTGGCACAACAGGAACTAAAAAAAATCCCACTCTAGTGTTTAAAGATTGACCAAAACTTAAGAGCCATTCTCCACCATGACTCCTAGTTTGCAAAGACCCTGAGACATATGCCCTCTAATTCCCTCCACTAAATATAGCAGCCAAACCACACACGATACCACCTAAGTTCTTCTCAGCCTTCCACCACAAGATGGTTGTTACCTGTTGAGAGTAGATGAGCAGGGTGCAAATGAGACTGTTACCAGGTTAGAAATGTACAGCTAAACCTATCAGCAAGAGCTAGCTGCATGCACTCTAGTGAGTGGATTAGCATTTTGAACCTTTACATAACCTTTCTGTGGTTAGGATGCATCATTTATGAAGACAACTACAGGTACAGCCCATGGACAGCCCCATTAGCCCTTCTGCACACAAGGCCAAAGCCTCAGGACCTTCAACAAAGGAGCAGGCCTTTTCCTAAATGAATCAGGAGACATACATCCTATCAGCCAAGGCATTAGGACCTCTAAATCAAGGCATGGGGTTTTCATAAGTTACTAAAATTTTCATGAGCACAGGTTCTTGAAAACATTTATAAGAGAAAAAAAGTTTTGACTTTTGATACGTTTTACTTGGAAGTAGTGGTCATAAATGCACTATGATTCTCAGTTATGACAAGAAGTGTTACAGGGAGGAATGGTAAGATGGTCAGACTTCTAGAGGAGAAAAGGTTTCCTTCCAAAACTCCCATGAGACCCAGATAACTGGGTTTGGGTGAGCCTGATGGGAAGTCCCTAAGGTTCAGGGGACATCCTTCTGTCGACCAGTCCAATGGTCAGCAACAGGCTCAAAGTTAAAATAAAAGATGTGAGTAAAAGGCAGGGCACAGCCAGCCAAGTCAAGGGGCTATGGGAGAAAGATCCTGCGACTTTTTGAGAAACAAGCAATGATGGCCAATATTAGGGCCTCAACTAGTACTGAATCCACATGTGAAGTAGACACCAAGGATTTTGATGCTAGGGGTAAATTTGGGCAGAATCATGATGCTTTTTGGTACCTCCCTCACATACTGTTCAATTCTCTATAGCATCTCAGCTGCTCCCCTCTTATTGCCAACCCTACAGTCACCATAACCTCCACCTCTCAAAGAAGGTGATTTCCCTGGGACAGGGTGAACTGCAATTCAGAAGGCCATTATCTTAACACAGGGTAGGACTCTAATGTCAGAGTTCCAGAAACTACACTAGGAGAAGTCAATGACTAGGCAGAAAGGCCAATAACAAGGTCATAATTTGTCCTAATTAAGCCATAGCCAAGATCCTCTGAGGCTGGCACTGGGGAGGTCTGCAGTGTGATCTCATGGCCCAGCTGTGTTTCCGAGACTCACCAGGAATTGGATGTGTAGGGGTGTTACTAATCAACTATCACACTATATTAACTTTAGTGGAAGAACATCACTCCCTCTTTCATATTCAAAACCAAGCATGGCAAATACGCTTTCCCTCGTTCCCCTTAGGATAGCTGAAACACTTTCACAGACCTTGAAGCCTGAGGGATGCTGACAAAGAAAGTTCCAGAACAGATTCCAGCAACACCTGCAGATAGCTGCCCCCTAGCCTACAGGCCTGGCCCTTCCTAGCTCCTGGCCAGTGTCCATGTGTCAGGCCACCTCCCAGTCACAACTCTGATCATCTGCCCTCCTTAAAGTCCAGGGCCAAAAAAAAACCTGAAGGGAAACAGAGATTCCTATTCCCACCTAAAACTCACCTTTGCAGCTCCTGTTTCCTAGACACTAAATTATTGGTGCCAGGGTCTCAGTAGGTCAAGCTGGTCAGATAAGCAGAGCACTGGGCATTCTGCCTCATAGGTACTTGGGTGCCACTGCATGACAGGGTCAACCTGTGACCATGTTGGGACATATATATACTAATAGTTGAGGCTGGTGAAACCCAAGTTCTAAATCTTTTGCTTCATCCATAAGGCTGATACTGACACAAGACTGGAAAGTCTTATTCTATAACATTCCCTGCTGCAGAAATCACTGAAAGAAGGTTTCACATACTTGACTTTATAGGATAATAATAGGCTTGAGAATATCACATCATCAGTCACCCACTTCATCATCTCTAAGAGCCCTGAGGGTTGCAAAGGAACTGATCCCTGGCCACAGGCTAAGCCAGGAGCAGAAGGTCAGTTGCTCCAAGCCCCAGAAGCTGAATATTCAGGGCAAACTCAATGCCCAGAACTTAGCAATGTTGTTGCCAGCTCTGATTAATTAGAAGTCATGTGACCATTAGTGGGTCTACTTTTTTCACCATTTTCAAGGATGAAATGGAATCCCCCTCCCATTCAGAGAAGACATGAGCCATCAGTTCTGCCTAGACCCAGACCATTGAGTCTAACTGTTTGCTTTAAGCACACAGGGTGTCAGCTCACTCCCACCATGAGACAAAAGGCAACTTCTGTTATAGCCCTTCTCTCTTCTGCCTGCTGTAAGCTACTGGGACTAATTCCTCTCATCTGCCTCACAGCCACTCACGCACACAGTATACATTCATCAAGTTCCTGTTATACAGAATTAAATTTAATCAAACCTAGGGCAGTGGTTTCATAATTTTATTTGAATATAAATAATCATCCATTTATTCATCTCCTTACTGAGTGCTGATGGCGTGCATGGCACTATGTAGACACTGGGGACAGAGCAGTGAGCAAGATGCACAGTGCCTGCCCTCACAGAGTCTGCTGTCCAAAGACACAGAAAAACAATTAGCAAAAAGCATGTACACGTTAGTTCATAGACTTGAGACATTGCCAAGGAAGAAAGAATGGGTTGAAGAGCAAAGAGTGCCTTGGACTCAGCCTTGAGGAGATCTCACAGAATAAGGTTGGGTAAGGCAGAGTCGAGGAAGAACATCCAGAAAGGCAAGTAAAGAACCAGGAAAGCATCTGATGATGGGGACCAAGAAAGGAGGGCTTCAAGGTGAAGCAAATGGTCATTCATGATCTTCAGAGGAACCATTTCAGTGGCAGCATGGGACAGAGACAATGTTGGGGTGGGTCGAAACAGTGATTACACACAACTCTTTCAAGAAATTTAGCTGTGACACTGGGAAGAAAAGATGGTAGCTGAGGGAAGGAAGAGGTGGTTCATGAAGATTGTTCTTTAAGTTAGGGAAAACTAGGTCATTATAGAGATTTAGCTCGGTACCTGAGCGATAATAGCCTAGAGTGGCCAAGTATGGCCAAGAGCCCCACTCATCAGTAATGAAGCAGAGGGACCATGAGGTTGGTAAGTGGCAGCGATGAAAAAGAGGTAAAGATGGCTAGCTAGGTAATACAAGCTTCCAAAGAGGAAGGGTTTTACATGACATGGGAGAATCTGTCACTTCCGGTAGGAATCTGTCACTTCCTAGAAGTGTCATTGGAAGTGACAGTAGGGAATAAGGAGGGCCTCAAGTCTACCCTCTAGCTCTGGAAATTCCTGGTAGGAATTCCTACCAGGAGCTTTTTTAAAACACCATTAAAAAGCTGAATAGAAATGATTTTTCAATTACCCAGGCTACTCTGCCTGCCTCCAGATATCAAGACCTGACCCCACTGCCTGTACCTGCATTTGAACATTTCTCTGCAGTCTCAGGAATAGAGAGGGCATTTGCAGAAATAAGTCACACCAGTACCCTTAACTTTATCCTCACAGCAAACTTTTTGCAATCAGTTCTTGAGCTCTTGCTCTATTCAGGGCACCAGAGGGACACAAAGTTAAAAAAGACATGACCCCTGACCTCAGTAGTACGGAAGAAAACCATACACAAAATGCTAAAACTTGAGACTGAAAGACTGTGGGAAGCCTAAAGACAGAGCAGTGTGAAATGTTCTGATGTGATGGGATGAAGGAAAACTTTGGAGGAATTGGAGCTTGAAGAGGGAGCATAAAGATCACTTGAAACTATTGGGGGGGATTAGACAGCCAAAATGTAGAACTGGAAGGACATTGCAAATAGAAGGGGGAGCAGGGTCAAGGGCAAGGTGCCTGCTGGTTTTAAAAGCTAAAGAGTCAGTGATGTAGAATCAACTAAGAGTGATTTTGGAAGGAGTTAAGGACAGGGCTTGCCTTCTGCTTGAATGTGGAATGTGAGGGAAACAAAAGAGACAGACTTTTAAAAAAATAATCTATCTATGGCGACACTGCCCACCCCCACAATGCCCCCAGATGCCTGATTTATTCTGTTGCTTTCATCTCGTTTTCTCAGAACAAGTACCAGGGCTTCGTCTTTGACATAGTGACCAGACAAGCTTTCGACATCGTCATCATGGTTCTCATTTGCCTCAACATGGTCACCATGATGGTGGAGACTGATGTACAGAGTGAAGAGAAGACAAAAGTCCTTAACAGAATCAACCAGTTCTTTGTGGCTGTCTTCACAGCGGAGTGTGTACTGAAGATGTTTGCCCTGAGGCAGTACTACTTCACCAACGGCTGGAACGTGTTTGACTTCATTGTTGTGATCCTCTCCATTGGGAGTAAGTGGCATTGCAACTGGGGAGGCCCAGTTCTGCTTGGGGTTATTTTGGCTTCTCTTCTCAAAACCAGGGGGACAACCACACATCGTTTTAAACACGTGTGATGTATTAGAGGAACTCCGTATTTACTGACTTCCAAGAATGGTGGGATTTCAATATTCCTAGACCTCTCAGTGAAATGCAGAGATGCTGTGGGCTGTTGAGAAGTGTTTTCAAGCAACTAATGTGTACACAGCCCATCACCAAAACTTTGGGGCTAAGAGGAAACAATCACTCCTACACAGAACCTAAGATGATAGAGCCTGGTGGGCCTGGTCTTTAAGCAGAGGATGAGGGATACATTGTGAGATGAATCATAAGATACTTTTCTTACAGGGTAGCCCAGAATGGACTGGGCTGCCTGTCTGTGGGGCCTCACCCGCAAACTCAAAATTCAGTTATACTGCAGGCACACACAAAAGTGTCCATAACGGGTTTATTTACAAAAGGGGAAAGGAATAGGAAACAACCCAGGGAAAGAGAGTGGGATACAAAATAACTGGAATACCTTACAGGCTCAGCTGACTGAAAACACTGAGTCACACAGTCTGGAGAGCCATTTTCCCAAGTGAGAGACGCAATAGCGCCCTATTTATCCCCCAATGTCCCAGAATTCCTGCTAGTCTGCCCTTGGATCCTCGCAGTTCTCTCCCTGGTACTGCTGAGAGTTGTAGTTTCCAATCACTGGAGTAGGAGGTAGGGTCCAGAAAGCTGGAGTAGGGGGTGGAGTCCATAAGACTCTGCAGAGTTCCTTTAGGACATCCTTCCCCTTAACACTTTCTGGAAACTGAAAAAAGACTAGGATGAAACATACAAAGGAGATTCTTTTTATTTTTTAAAAGAATTATTTATTTATGCATACAAAAACTGGGGTGTAGGCCAGGGGTGAGGAGGTGAGAGGATTCATCAGAGACAGAATGGGGAGCAGAACAGGAGGATCAACTGAAATACACTGCTGAGGGTAGCAGTGGCTGAGACAGGAGAGGTCTTGTGTGCCATGTGTGGGTCAGCTCCCTGGCCAGGGATTGAACTCATGCTGCAGTGGCAGGAGATATCGTAACAGTGCTGAGACTTTAACCCATGCACCCAGGGATGTCCTCAAAGGAGACTCTTAAGTCAACAGTCTAGAATAAAATCTCCATGCTGTCCACTTTGAGAACACCAGTGATGAAGAAGTCAAGGGGTCAATGCCAAGAAATCAATGCTGTCATGGCCTAGCCTGAGTGTGGTTTAATGACGGACCCAGTGTCTGGTGACCAATAATATTCAGAGAAAATGAGTAGACTCAGAGGCTAAAGTGGGAACAGGGCCACATAGTCAAGTGCTTGCTGACTTCTGAGATTAGGCTGGGCTGTATGGATCTTCCCACTAGCTCTGTGAAGGAGAGTTCTTTGCTTTCTATTTTCAAAGTTAAGTCTCAGAGTTTTGCAAGTTATGCAAGGTCACAGAGTTTTTAAAGGAAGGAGCTGAATTTAGACCAGGCTACTACTGTTCCCCAGCTGAACTGCCTCCCGCCAACAACTACTGGTCTCTCCTTGGTCTTCTGTGGTTTAGCCAAAGTTTGGCCCTATAAAGGCCAAATTCCAGTGCACCAGCTTTGCTTTGCATTATAAATATATCCTGACCTGTTCCATGATGACCTGCTTGCTTTGCACATCACAGCATAACTATAGATTTAATTTTCCATTGATTTACCATCAAGAGCTAATAGCATCTATATACAACTTGGCAGCACATAATCAGTCACTGCACTCTGCTGCTGAAACCCCGTCTTGGATCGTGTTTGCTTGGAGGGTTTAAATTTATTTTTGTTTTGTTTTGTTTTCCTATTACTGCTGGTGTTAGTTTGTTTGTGGGCAGTTTGATTTGTTTGTCTGCCTTTCAAAATGAGGTAATCTAAAGGCTATTTTGATGCTCTATTAGAGAAGATAGTTTGCTTTTGTGACTTCCCCTATCAGTACCTTAGAAATAAAATATACTCAACATACTCAATTTCATGATGGAGATATTTTATCTACTAGGTCCTATACAACAACACTGGAAATCAGCCATTGAGATAGCTATAAAGTAGAAGAACCCACCTGTCCATCCTGCTGTCCTTCCTCCTCTCCCTCTCTTTCCTCCCACCAGCAAAACACGTATTGAGCATCTAATTGTTATGAGTATAAAGACTCATTCTCCTTGAAGTAGACTGGTTGGCTGGCAGGATCTTAGTAATTATAAGGACACATAATGTACCCCACAGCATAAAATGTCCCAGTTAAATTTACGAAAGGGACTTACAAAGGTTTTGTAATCCAAACTTGTAATTATTTCCTGAGTTTCCTCCCATTTTCTTTCTCCTCCCGACACAATACTGTGACCACTCATATTCATATGACAAAAGGCAAGAAGGGCAAAAGGCCAAGGGGCCCTGCAAGGAGTACTTGCCACCGTGCCCCTACGGTGTCCCTGAGTCCCATCTTACCTGATCTCTGCTGGCCCCAAGGCCTCCACAGGTGACCGTGACCATGTTCCGCAGTCATGAAGAGAGAAGTGTACATACACATTCTCCACACTTCTAGCCTTTTCATAGTCAAGCTGGAGGTCTGTGACTGGCCCTAAACAAGCCCATCTACAGGCCCCAATGTTAGGTTCAAACACAGCTGGAAACGAAAAAAACAAACAGAAGCCATTATGCAGACAGCTGGCCATTCAAAGCCATTCTGCTTTAGCTGTCAGCAAGTTGCCCCACTCCTCAGCCCCCCTTATAATTAATACCAGGCTCTGTACAATTATCCACAGAACCATGTACCAGGAACTGAGTCAATCTTCACAGTAGGAGATAGGGGGGTGAGCCACAGGGGGTCCTGGCCTTCACAGAGCACAGTACCAGGATGGAGGAAAAGGCACAGCCCAAATGCTGGAGTCTCAGGAACAAGTAGGGCTACATTCCAGAAGGAAACAGACAAGGCCTTTGCACACATGAGCTGTGATATGGTCACTTCCTATCACACTGGACAGCAGGAGGTAGGGTTTTCACCCCAGAGGCTGACCAAGGAGAAAATATTCCAAGGGGAGAGCAAGATAAGCCCATGGTGGCCAGGGTGAGGCTTACTTAAAGAGGAAAGGACTGCGCAGTTCATGCTTGCAAATCAGCTTCTTTGTGCCAACTACCATGTGTGCTCTGGGGGCCTGGGGCCCTAGAGTACAGATGCTCGCGTGGAGGTTCACAGGCAGCAGAGACCAGGGAGTGTGATCACAGTCAGCATGTCAGGGCTTATGGTTGCAAGCTCTAATTAGATCATTTCCCCCTCTTCTTAGGCCTGGTGTTTTCTGCAATTCTTAAGTCACTGGAAAATTACTTCTCTCCGACACTCTTCAGAGTCATCCGCCTGGCTCGCATTGGCCGCATCCTCAGACTGATCCGAGCAGCCAAGGGGATCCGCACACTGCTCTTTGCCCTCATGATGTCCCTGCCGGCCCTCTTCAACATCGGGCTGCTGCTCTTCCTCGTCATGTTCATCTACTCCATCTTCGGCATGGCCAGTTTCGCCCATGTAAGGGCAGAGGCTGGCATTGATGACATGTTCAACTTCCAGACCTTCGCCAACAGCATGCTGTGTCTCTTCCAGATCACCACGTCGGCTGGCTGGGATGGCCTCCTCAGCCCCATCCTCAACACAGGGCCCCCCTATTGCGACCCCGACCTGCCCAACAGCAATGGCACAAAAGGGAACTGTGGGAGCCCAGCTGTGGGCATCCTCTTCTTCACCACCTACATCATCATCTCCTTCCTCATCGTGGTCAACATGTATATCGCAGTGATTCTGGAGAACTTCAATGTGGCCACAGAGGAGAGCACTGAGCCTCTGAGTGAGGATGATTTTGACATGTTCTATGAGACCTGGGAGAAGTTTGACCCAGAAGCCACCCAGTTTATTACCTTTTCTGCCCTCTCAGACTTTGCAGACACCCTCACTGGTCCCCTGAGGATCCCAAAACCCAATCGGAATGTGTTGATCCAAATGGACCTGCCCTTGGTGCCCGGAGATAAGATTCACTGTTTGGACATCCTTTTTGCCTTCACCAGGAATGTTCTGGGAGAATCTGGGGAGTTGGACTCTCTGAAGGCAAATATGGAGGAGAAATTTATGGCAACTAATCTTTCAAAAGCATCCTATGAGCCAATAGCAACCACGCTTCGATGGAAACAAGAAGACGTTTCAGCCACTGTGATTCAAAAAGCCTATCGGAGCTACATGCTGCACCGCTCCATAACAGCCTCTGATCCCCCAGGCATTCCCAGGGCTGAGGAGGAGGCTGAATCTCCCACGGATGAAGCCTTTGTTGCATTCATGGCAAATGAAAATGGTGTGCTCCCAGGAAAATCTGCAACCGCTTCTGCTACATCTTTCCCCCCCTCTTATGATAGTGTCACGAAAGGCCTGAGTGATCAAGTCGACATGAACACCTCTGGCTTGATACAGAACCAGGATGAAGATACCAGTAAGAAAGCAGCTGCCCCTGGGTCCCAGTGAGGACATTTCAGCATGTACAGATCCAGTTCTGGTGTGACCTTCTCCTCCATAATAACCCTTTCCCAGGACAGGTAGCAACCAGCTACCGCCTCATCAATGCATGCCACTGGTCACAATGGAACTGGGCAGACAGCACTGGTACCCACCTTTGGAGAGGCCCCACGACACTGACAGGAGTCAGAAACCGAGGGCAGAGCCATGGTGACTTCCCGTTTGTGTTTCAGTATCAGTTGACAGGTCCCCTGACCTCCAGAACATGTCCTGGTCCTTTCATATTGACTTTGACCAGAGTTTTCATTTACCGAGACAAACTTCTCGGCACTGCAACTTCCAAAGATATATAGCAAGGATGTTGCTAAAGGCTCAAGGTAGTCCTCTGTGAAACGCCATGTGGAGACTGGTTAGTGTAACTTAGGATTTTGCATGGCTGCATGTTGTGAGCTGCCAGACAATTGCTCCTTTCTGGGGTCATGCCTGTGGTCTGTGTCATGCAAGGCCTTTGAGGTATTCATTAAAATTAATATTTTTAAAGTTATATCAAGACCAATGTTATATCTTAAAGCACTGTATTTAAAAATTATGTGATATTGACATATATTGTAAATCACTTCTTCACTTTCAGGATTCCTGATGTTTTGAAGTTTGAGCTTGCAGCTGAGTAGGGCATGGGGTGTTGTCTAGGAGCTTGTTCTAATCCTAAAATCCTAAATCCTATTGATTGGCTAGCCTTTTCCAAGCTTGGTCAAGCTTTTTCCCCTCTGATCCTTGGTGTCCCTATTTGTAAAATGGGAGGGGGGGTTAGGAGGGTGGGAGACACAGAGATATTCTTCATAGCCCTTGCATCTCTTGTAGAATTCAGTGGTGCCCCGTCCCAGCTTAGAGGAGAGATGCCTCTCCCTTTTGAAGCTGCAATGGCCTAACTATTTTTCTGTGCAGCTAAAGAGATAGCTATTCGGTACATTCAAGAACCCTTTTCACATATCATAATCTTTAAGGATAAAGGTTTTCACATTCCTACTTGGACCAGGACTCTAAAACTAATATAATCAAAAGAAAAGGGCTATTTTGAAAAAGATGTTCTGAAAGATAAAAGTTATGAACAATATTTTATTTAATTCATTCCACAACCATTATTAAGTATCTATTTTATGACAGGCACTGCTGTAAGTCCAAGGGATAATGGGAGTTAAGCCCCAAAGGGTTAATTGGGCTTATGTGATGAATGAAGCTAAGGTTGTCAGAGAATTTTCAAACCAAAGGCACTTATGATGAGGCAGGACTTATGATGAGGAATTTGTATGATAACATAGGACATATTCGGTGACACACTGTATAGTCCTGATGGCAGTCATCTTCTTCTAATTCTTGGGACAGCCCCTGCTACAATCACCATGATCAGGTAAATTTTTTGATACCTATTTGATCATTTACAAGAGTTTACATTTATACAATTATAAAGCGTAGAGGCTAATACTTTCTATGCCTCATGATACAGGTCTTCTGGGGTCTTACTATTCTTTTTCTATTGCTGTTGACTCACCAGGGATCAAAGGAGTCTTTCAAGAAATGTGTTGGGAGTTGCTAACACCCACAAATGTAGTTAATAAGACAATGATGGAATTTCTGAGCATGCAGGCTATCCCAGTACAAATGAGTTGTTCTCTAGATGCCTGGTTTGTGTCTTAAAGATGTGTCAGACAAAATAATTTTTCCTTCCTAGCCCCACTAAGCAGATATTGACTGCACAGCTTCCTCAACATCTAAATTCCATGCAGTCAATGAAAATGCTATCTGAGAGAAAGCCAGCCCAAGTGTTTATAAGACAGCTGGGTGGAGAGAGAATTTTAGGGCACTGGCTTATCATTAGCAGAGTGAAAAGGCAAACTGTAAAGTTGAAGCTGATATTTGAAGTACTTTTACACTGTTATCTTTAATAAATAAATGGACCCAAACAACAGACCAGTTTTATAAAGTAGATGATATTCTTAAAGATATTCTTATTACATTTTCTCCTTGTTTTGAATCAAGTGGTATCCCCAAAGAGCTATATTGAAGGCCTAATCATGTCATCTGTGAATGTGATCTTATTTGGAAATAGAGGCTTTGATATGCTTAGAGAAAGGTAAAGTCTCTTTCCTAAGTCCTGGGGATGTAAAGTTAATAAGGTAGGTCCTCAACCTGCAGCTGAACACTGACTGAAAGTTTAAAAAGATGTAATTCCCATGTTTCTAATGGTAATGAGCTAAGTTATTTGCATCATCCTTCCCTTTGAAAACCATGAAAATATTGTCCAAATACCAGACAACATTGACATGAAATTTGGGACCATGTGAGTAGGATAAGAATTCTAAAGCTTTATTTTTATTCAGGAGGAAAGTAAAAGTTTTTACTATTGTTAGATTTTAGTAAGTTGAGAATGCATGACTTAATTACTTGTATTGCCACGAACAGAAACAGTATATCATTTCAAAAGTAGGCCAGAGGGAAAATATGCCAAGAAATACTTAGGCAATCAAAAAAGTAAGGTAAGAAAGAGGATGAAAGTGATATATACAACAAGAAAAGCAAGTAGAAAACACAGAGTAATGTAGGCTATTTGATCACAAATATATCAGCAGTTATATTAAGTATAAGTGGCTAAATAAATAAGTGGATAAATAAAAACAATAAAGATTATCAGCCATAATTTTTAAAAAGATTTATTTATTTGTGCATGCAGAGCTGGGGTACAGGCCAGAGGTGCAGGGGTGCTGAGAGGATTCACCAGATAGCAGGGAGCAGAACAGGCAGATCGACGAAGCACGATGCTGAGCAGAGCAGCCGCGGGTCAGGAGAGGTCTGCCGCACCATGTGGTCACCTCCGGCCCAGAGATCGAACTCATGCTGAAGTGGCTTTAGCTTCTTAGTGCTGTGCTTTAACTCACTACACCACAAGGGAAGGCCCTGTCAGCCATAATTTTTAAATTCAAGTAAAAGGTATTTATACAGAGACAGATCTACAACTTAAGGTAATGAAAATAGGTTAAGTAAATGAAGGAACAGAAAAAGATATACTATATAAGTCAAGCAGTTATAAAATATGTGTTCTTTTCAAGTATTACAGAATTTTTCCAAAAATAGTTCACATACTCAATCATAAAGTAAAATTCAAACATTTCCAAGGGATAAAAGCATATAAAGTATGTTTTCAGAGCATAATCAAATTTAGCTGAGAATCAGTAACAAAAAGTTACAGACCAAAGTATGCAGATACTTGTAGATGACAAAGATGCGTTGCACAGCAGTGAAGGAAAGATGACATTGTGACAAGTGGCGCTAGGACAGTTGTGTTTTCATAAGAGAAAGAAATTAAACGGGATCCCCCTCCCTAAAACCATACTTTAAAATCAATTCCAAACAGAAAAGCAATTCTAAAAATTTAAAGGCAAATCTAAAAGCCTTTAGAATATAATTGAGGAAAGTATCTTTAAGACCATGGAATAAAGACCAATAAATTTGACTATTTTAAAGTTTAGGATATAGTTCATTAAAATATAACCATTAATAGAGTGAAAAGGCAAACTGGAGAGTGGGAGCACATTTTAAAGCATTTACATCCAACAAATGTCCAATATTCCAAGAAGATTTTTATTAACTTCTACAAATCAATACAAAATAGAGGGTACAGTACAAACAAAAAAAATGGCATGAGATCTGAGGAGGCACTTTGCCAAAGAGGAAAGCCGAATAACCAATCAAAATACCAAAGGGTGACCAAACTAGTGAAATGCAAATTAAAACCATAGTCTAAGACACTACACCTAGCAGAGCCATAAAGCTTTTAGAGTCTGACAAATACAGAGGATTGTCGAAATGTAGAGTGACACCATCTTGTGCCCTGCTGGAGAACGCAAATAGGCACAACGACTTTGGAAAACAGTCTTACTTTACTAGAAGAGTTAAATACACTAATATCCATGGCTCGGGTCTTCCACTCTTAGATGTGAAGCTTAGAGAAGTCCATGCACAGACTAGAAGGTACATACAAGATTTCTTATCAACTTTGCTCATAACGGACCCAAACAAGAAGCAGCCCCATGAACAACCCAGTCAGCAGCAGAATACATTAATAATATGTGCTGTGACTTTTTTAAAATTAAGGCAACTTTAGTTTACAACTCTATGTAGGTTTCAGGGGTATAATTTCTCATCTATTTGGTTGCATTTGCTTTTCTTTATATTTCACAGTGAAATATAAAGTGATATCATATGGTATTTTTCTTTCTCCTTCTGACATATATTTTTAGCTTATCCCTCAAAGTCCATCCATGTTGCCAAAAAGGTTTCATTTTTTGTGACAAAGTAGTATTCTATTATGTGTACGTATCATATCATCTCAATCCATTTATCCATTGTCTAGTTACTTTCAGGCAAAATTAAATGTGTTATTAAGGACTGAATGAACCAGTTATCATAACCAGGATAAAGGCTATCAGTAAGGAAGACTCACTTGTGTCTGGCGATGTTGTATATCCTCACCAAGGGGTTCTTTCTATGAGTGTCATCTTTATAACTATGTAGTTTAACATATATGTCTAATGGGCTTTTCAGTATGTTGCACATCACAATTTTTACAAATTTCAGGGACTTAACTTTGATTCTCCTCTTTCACAGAAGTAGTTACTAGCTGGCATTCTGAATTATGCCTTGGCTTTATATCTCAGACTTGGATTATCTGAACTAAATTGGAAAAGGAGAAATTCAATGAGGGTAACTGAAAAGGAAATTCTAAAGAAAGGGAATAGCAACTTCGAAAGGCAGAGTGGGTAGCCAGTGGGCAGAATTTGAGAAAATGTAATCAAATGATTGTAAGCATTCGTGGCAGGGAGTGGGGGAGTGAGTAGAATGCAGTCACACAGGGGACAAAGTTTGAATCCCTTTGGGTTCCTTCGGGTGCTGTCATGGGGGCTAACTAAGCATTTAACTGCCCGCCTGGCCCAGGAACAAAACAGCACTGACCATATCGCTAACGCAGGCTGCTGAAATGCTCCTTTCTGAGCTGGGCACTAGTCCCTGAGTTACTGGGTCATGGAGAAATCGAGAGGAATGTCCCAAAAGAGAGATTAGAGGGGCAGGAAGCTGGGGAACACTTGCGGCAACAGCTCTTTACCTATCGGCACAGAAATATCTCATTATATCTCTACATACTCATCTGGTATTAGTCCAGCTAGAAATCCAACCCAAATTCTTATATGGGGAAAAGGGAGAAAATACTTTCATCTATTAAACAGGCGGCTGGAGAGGCTGTTGGATTCAGGCTCAGCTGAATTCAAGAGCTCAAATGACGCCATAGGGATCCCAGCAGCCCCCTCCTGGCTCTGCTTTCTCTGAATCTGCTCCATTCTCAGGCAGGCTCACTTGGTGTGATGGTAAAGATTACGCTGTGAATCTTCTACATCTGTGATCTCAGAAGAGAAACCTGACTCCTTCCCAATAATTCCAGCAAAATTCCCAGGGAGGTGTGCCATGGTCCCAGGTCATATCCCATTCTCTAAGTAATGCATCATATAATCCTGGCCCTTCCAGGACCAGTGCTCACCCTGAGAACAAGAACGAAGCTGAGAGCAGACCCCAAATAGAAAAGTTTTGTGATGATAAGAAGAGGGAAGCATCCTGAGAGACTCAAACAATGGCTGCCCCTACCTTGGCCCCTGACTGAGCCACCTGATAGCCATGCAAATTCTTTGCAGGCATACAATAGCAAAGATTCCTAGCCCAAGTAAAACCGTAAAACCGCACTCCCATCACTTCCCCAGCTTTCAATTGGAGTAATGGTACCATTAGCCTACAAAAAGGGCAAACACAGGCTATTCTGGGGGAAACATGAGAAAATCGGGGGTTATAGTAGGACAGCACGCTTCTCCCAGCTCCCATTCTTACCCCCTCTGTGTGTTACCAATCATTGATGTGCTGAGAAACATGTGACAATTAGCTCGTCATGAGGAAAAAAATCCCTGATCAATTTGTTTTCTGATTTATCTGGCATGTATTACCACACCTGGCCCAATGAGACATCCCTGAAGGTAGAATAGAGAAGAAATGGGAATAGGGAAGAAATAACCTGAACCAGGCTTAGCCCACCACTGTTTCCAACCCTGCTTTTCTCCATCGATGTTTCTTGGGACAAATTTGATTTTTTTTTCTCAACTTCATAAGACTGTAAGATTGCGGGTTACTGATCATAGAAACAGCCTCCCTGTTCTGTTTTCATATAGGCCAATTTGGGCAAGTTTGTCTTTCTTTGTGTGACTTTATTAAACCTGCAAGAAGTAGCCCACGCCTTTCCAAATCCTAGAGGTTTTCTATCAAAGTCCTTAAACTCCTGCTGCAAAAGGCAGGTGTCTTAGCCTCCAGGCACAGCAGGCTACAACTAAAGCATAATAGAAATTTCCAGGTTCAGATCTGGGGATGCAAGAGTGTCAGGGTCTCACTCTACCTCAACTTAGCCAAAGCCACACTTCAAGGCCTATTAATAGTAACATCCACCTCCAGGTATCAATTTCAATGTCAATCAGAGTTGGTTACAAGCAATCAGAAACCAATTTCAACAACAACAAAAAAATTTACTGGAAGGCAGTGGGGAAGCACAGACCAGAAGTAAACCTACCCCAAACTGGATAGGTTCCTGGGTAGGTTCAGGCTCTTTGTGGAGTCTAAGCCAATCAGTTCCAGCTTTTCTCCAACTTTTCATGGGTTTCAGACTTCAAAGAAACAACATCAGATTGGTCAAGCTAGCAAGGGAGGAGCGGTTTGATTGAAAGCTTCAATAAGCATTCTGTCAAGTACCCACCACCTCCCACCCCTTCAACCCACAACTAACAACTCCAGAGGAAAATTCAGGCATTGCTCTCAATTGGTGGGCAGAAACAAGGGTACAAGTTTCCCGCTGGATTCATGCTTCATGAAGTTCCCTCTGACCACAGTATCCAACGAAGAAACTGAGGTTAGGGAGTGTGGTACCAAATGAGAAACTCAAGTTTGGGTGTTTTCAGTCTGCAAGCAAACTGACTAAAAGTAACTAAGTCTTCTCACACAGACCTCCCCACCCCACAGAATGCACAGGAAGCTGCTCCTAT